AAACTTTTTGATCTGGAAGTCTTAGATAAAGACTGAAAACAACATTTTCGGGGCTCCAGTGGGCAGCTATATCTTGTCTAGGTGTAGATCTGAAGAACCAGCTCTTCCACCTGTAATTACCCTCATTCTGATCCTAGATTCAAACTTGATTTGAAATCTGATTTTTGAAAGGTCACAGTGTGATTTTTGGTTACACACTTTCCTGAACTGAGCACAAGAACTTAGCCAGATGAAGTCAATTTAGCAGCAGATACCTTGTGAGCACATTAGCTCAACTTCACTGCTTTTACTATCTAAGGAATCTTGTTCTGGGATCTCGGCCTTTTTTAAAGATATGGTTCTTGTCCTTTAAAAAAATTATTTTCATATTTGATCGAGGAAAAAATATTTATATCATGAATGATGACAGCTTTTCTGTTCTTAAAATGATCTGAAATAAAAACAAAAACAAACAAAAAACACAGTCTCAATTTGAGGGTTTTCCAAGGAGAAATAAAATTTTAAAAAATACCACATATCACTATCATTAAAAAGGAACCTTTAGCAGGTACTTTCTACATTTTAACAGATACGCTTCTTCTTCAGCACTGTCTTCAGTAGTAAAACTATGCAGAGCTACAAGCAACATAAAAGATGTAAATGAAATACATGAAATTCAGATACGCAGTACGACTACAGTTTTGGTTGTGGGGTTTTAATTATTTATTTAAAGAGTAACGTTTCTTAAACAAGTATGCTCTAAACTATCGCCATTTCACCCCTGAGGTTGGTCCTACATTCAAGAGAAGACATCTAAATAGCATCAAGATAGCAAAAAAAGGATGTTTTTAATGAATATCTTAACACAGAATTTTGTGGGCAAACAGTCATAGGAAGTGTCACGTTCCAGATGAAAAGACAAAGTCAGGTCCTAACCACTATGGTCAAAGATCCCATTTTCGACAACAGAAGTTCTGTTAAATTCTGTTCCTTGGCCAGCAACCAACTCAGGTAAGCACCTCGTGCTGACCTAGTTTTCTCCTACCGTCCCAAACGGCTGTGGAGTTTGGTTTTAATCTCTCACACAAAGCCCCAGCTGTGCTCCTCTCACGTGCTGTCCCGCGGACACCATGAGCTCTGCGAGCGCTAGGCCGAGCCAGTAAGAGAACCAAGCGGCGCCTTCCTCGCCCTGCTGAAGGCAGCTCAGGGCAAGGTGTGAAGGAGCCCACGCGCTCTGCTGTGCCTTCCTCACCCGTTCGGTTGCAGAGCAGGCACGAGGGGCAGCGGTGCCCTCAGTAAGGTCGGTTACATGCCAGACTGTTCGGCAAGAGCAGAGCAGCGGGACGAGACTGCAATGCATCAGTCAATGGGCAGAGAGTCGGCAACTGCTTCAACGCTAACAAAAATACAGTTATGTTTGGTCTGTGGAGGTTATTTTAAACAGCTCCCTGTAACGCTATGCAAGAATTCATGTCACATACCGAACAGCATCATACCCATTGCAATGACAACGATTTACAGGACCCATGGTTTCAATTATAATTTGACTTTTGGCCTTCCAACAGTCCTATCTGATTTCAAAATAACTACTGTTGAAAAAGACCACCTCACTTTCCTTGGCAAATTACAAGAGACTTTATTGTCTCAGAAAAAATCAAAATTTGCTCACATGTTTCATGAAAGCTGTTTAAGGGAACCTTTCTGCAGTCTGCAGCTTGCAAGACAGTCAAAGCTCACCCTCTCTCCTTGATTTTTTATTTATCTGCTTAAATGGGTTTCTTTTTATTACTCACTCAGTTTGGTCATTTTCTATAATGCATGAGCATAAAAAACGCAAGCTCTAGAATTAGAGTTCTGCAGAACTGCCTGAACATGATAGTAATACACTTGGAGTGGCACATATTTTTTATAAAATCATCACAGCTTTGGGGGCTTACTGCATAAAAAAAAAGTTTATTTTTAGAGTACAGAGATGTCACAAGATGTATGTGGGTCTAGGGTACCCATGCACCCTAAACCTTTCCTCTTGTAATGGTTTGTACTGCCTAGAATTATTTCAGTTTTACTCACTGTTTTGGCTGGAACGAGCCAAAAAAAAAAAATCTGATATCCCTGCAGAGCTGCTATTAAATTGGTTATTCTTAATACCACAGAAATCTGTCTGGATGTTCCCTCATTACTTCTGCATCTAAACTTTGCCGTATGTGAATGGATGATTTGTTCATTCTTGAGAGATTGCACTTCTGCAGTCATGACATTAATTTCTTTTTGGATTAATATATACCAAGTTATACTCTAGTAGAATATGATGACTTCATATCCTTTCATGGCTCCAGGAACAGTTTAGTACCCAGCTTTTTCCTTGTCCAGATAGCTAAGAGCATAGATTGTCATGAAGGAAAAAAAATTCCTTTTGTCCACTGAAGAGGAGGAGCCTTATGAGCAAGTGGTTTTAGTATCTGCAGATTTTCTGCACTTCCTGCACGGGCCTTTAGGAATCCATACAATGCAAGTGATATACTGATGGCAGAGACTACTTGTTTTAAAAAGCATATCCCAAAATTATGGAGTTTTGGGGTACTTTGTGTCTTTGAATGGGGATTTTAAGAACCAGCAAAATACAACTATAATCTTGCTTGAGGAGTTGAATAGAATTTCACACTGATTTTCCATTATCTTTTTTAGTATAATGCTCATGAAGAACAACACTAATAAACACTATTAGGAGTGGCTCCTAATAGTACAGAACATGCAGTAAAACAAGTTACTGTTAAATTATTTATGACTTTCCTGCATTTCAGCTGCTTTTCACTTATTTGCAATTTTCTGAATAATTTCTCTGGAACTGGAAAGTTCTAACACGTTTGTTGAATTAAGGTAGACACATAAACTTCCTATAAAAGGCCTAAACAATAAGCCTCAACAGTTACCTGTGTTAAATTTCCAAAAGAAAAAGAAAATCATTCAAAAAGGTTATAAATGAGCAAGCTCAGAGAAACTGAAAAAAGAAGTGTTAGAGGATAAGGAGACTCTACCCATAGTACAATTAGTAATTAAAAAGCAACGGGAATTCTCAGACCCTTGATTTAAACTCACATGGAAAAGCATGTTTAGTGGGAAGTAGAGAGACATGAAAGAATATTGTCATTAGAGGGGTTTTAACTCTAAGAGCAAGAACCTTACAGTCCTTTTAATTTTCATGCTCTCTGCAAGTCCTCCGTACTTATCTAGCACAAACCAAGCCAGCAATGCAGGTTTCTGTGTTTCTCCCTGTTGGGAACATGACGAGATTGCAGCACGCACCGGGATGCTGCTGCCGGCCGGCGCGGCGCGGCGCCGCACACGGCGCTGCCTGAGAGAGGAATTGCACCCCGCGTTATCCAGGGCTGGGGGAGGAACGTGAAGCAAAGCAGCACATGCTGTTCCAATGATAACAGTACTTAGATAACAAAGATCTTTTTCTTGTCAGGAAAAAAAGAGAGAGGAGTTTCATCTCAAGAAACTCTGCTAACAAGATATTGCGCATTTTACCTCTCTGTTTTCCACAGGCATTTTCTTCTCTCTTCCCTGTGCTCTGTGAACACAGTGAATCACTAGCAGTCAAGACCTTATTATGACCCTGCACTAGGCAGGACTGCAGGTCTGCTTTTGCAGAAAGGAAAGATTTAAATAGCAAAGATGACGCAGGTAAGATTTACAACTTTCTAGCAGAGATCCGTGGAGAAATACTGTGCGTAGGTTGCCTACAGGATACTTGAGTTCACTGTCTCCTTTCCCAAATGCTAATGCCAAGGCTTCAGTCTAGCTAATTTAACATAAAATATATATGAAATATATTCATGTTTACATCAGATCCTATAAACTTTTTAATGTTTGAGATTATTTATTAAGGATAAGTTACATTGCAAACAAAATCTTTAAATAGCATATCTTCAGACTGCTGTAAGCTTTCTAATTCTCTTTAAATTCTTTTACTACTTGGGGGAATGATATACAGCTCCTTATATATCACTGCTTTTATTCTAACTTTTTGACGTAGAAATCAGAGATGCTATACACTTGAGCACACTAAGATGGAGCCATTCCTTAACATTTGGATTCCTGCAGCTCAGTCTTAGGGGCTGTTTTCTCCACATCAGTTACATACGAAATGAAACTCATCTTGGTACTTCCCCCCCTCCACAACAAGTACTGGTAAGGCAAGTGTGGTACAAAAGCAAGCTCCTCATTAATCACTTGTAAATTGTTCTCTCCTTCATGACTACTTATTCAGATCATCTTGTTCTGCAAATTGCAGTGAAGCTTCCAAACACTCCTGTTCCAGAGAGAGTTGAATTCCTCTAAACTCCTGACTGCAAGTAACAATTTTGGACTGGATTCTCCTGCTTGGAGCATGGGAAATAAGCTTTCAAAACAATAAGAATGCTGTTATGTACACAAGAAATCTATTTTCAATACTTTATAACAAAGTTGCTTTAAGAATTACAGTGGCCTTATAAAGGTATGAAAAGCACTGCAGTCTATAAAACTGTTAAAATTATCATGGCAGAATTAAACCTGCAGTCAATATCTGCACAAGCTAAGCCAAGGGGCATGTCAGAAACACTGCTTAGCTGAAGGTAGGGCATGCTTCATGTAGAAGACAGGTTGCTCTCCAAAGCCATTTAGAAAATGGGAAAAGGAACTACATGCCTGAAAAGTTTGTTAACTGAATATGAAGACCACTCACCTGGCAATGTCAAGTGATGAAAACACATGCTGTGTGTGCAGAGCACGTAATCTAACTTGTGCGTTTCTAAGTAAACTAACTGTAAAAATGGTGTTCCCTTTTATGATTCTACTTCTTGTTACCACATATTGCTTCACGCTATGTAACAAAATCAAATAAACAATTGTCCTTCATGTTGTTCTTCAGTGAGCTTTTCACACTTAAAAAACAAAACAAACTCCACAAAATGTAGCACCGAGAGCAGCTCCTAGGCCACGACAGACAGCACATGGCACAAATTGACACCACCTACCGTCAAACAACCCATCAGGCTCTGCTCGAAGGGTCTCTGGAAGGCTCTGGGGTCCCCGCACCAGTCCAGGAGCTCTGTAGCTGCATTATGGAAGTTCGCAGGGTTCTGTAAGTGCTGGCAAGAGAAGCAGCAGCAACATGGTAAGTAAGGTACGCAAGGGGTGACACACAGTCTTTTACATTACACCAATTCACAGTTTGGAAACTAGGAAAAACATGCATTTTGAAAACCCGAAAATTAGATGGCAAAAATGGAAAATCCTATTTAATTCATTCTCATTAAAATTTATGTAGACCACTGATTTTCTGATAATAGTTTCTAATTCAGACTTCTGATTTTCTAATATGAAGTTAGTTCGGGATGACCTTGAGCTGAGTTCCTCTGATTTCCTTTCTCAATAACATTACTCCTCACATTTGCCTGTAATGGATTCTACTTGGACACCAAAACTGGCCAAGCCCGAATTTTTGGAATTTTCAAGTTTTCTGTTTATTCTTGGCCTCAGGCTTATCTCCAGCTGCTGCCTAGGGACACGCAGTATGGCCCTGCCTTCCAGCAGTCTGGATTTCAACCCTTGCTTGCAAGCTGGGGCCTAGCTCGGCAGCCTCTGAGCACATCAGGGACACAGCAGGGCAAAGCCACTGCACAGATCCCTGCTTGGAGCTGGGAGGATGCTCACCCTAGCATTTGCATCATGAGTTCCTACAAGGAGGCTCCACGCAGCACTGGGAGGAATCTGGGAGGATCAATTTCAGGATCACAAGAACTGGAGGGATGCTTTTCGACAGAAGGATGGCTGGGATACTGCCACAACGCAAAACGTGACAGCACAGAACCCAAACAGAGATTGCACAGCAGAGCCCTGCTCTAAGCCTAGCTGCTTAGGAACTCAGCTTCTCTTTTTGGAGGTTACTTGCTCAAGGCAAGTTCCCATCTCCTACCCTCACTCCTGGCTTTGTGCTGAACAAGCTGGCATCCTACTAAGAGTTTGTAAACTTACCTGATACCACAATCCATGTTATCATCCTTCACTGTGCTGTATTACCCAACATATCTAGTATTTTGGTAGGAACAGAGCGGCAGCAGAGAATCACACAGAATCACAGAACGGTTAAGGCTGGAAGAGACCTCTAGAGATCACCTAGTCCAACGCCCCTGCTCCAGCAGGGAAACCCAGAGCACGTGGCACAGAAGATCTCCAGAGAAGGAGACTCCACAACCTCTCTGGGCAGCCTGTTCCAGGGCTCTGTCACCCTCACAGTAAAGAAGTTCTTCCTCATACGGAGGTGGAATTTCCTGTGTTTCAACTTGCACCCATTACCCCTTGTCCTGTCACTGGCCACCACCGAGAAGAGTTTGGCCCCATCCTCCCTACATTCTCCCCTCAGGTACTTGAACACATTAATCAAATCTCCTCTCAGCCTTCTTTTCTCCAGACTAAACAGGCCCAGCTCGCTTAGCCTTTCCTCATATGACAAATACTCCAGTCCCTTAATCATCTTTGTGGCTCTCCGCTGCACCCTCTCTAGAAGCTCCATGTCCTTCTTGTACTGGGGAGCCCAGAATTGCACCCAATATTCCAGGTACAGCCTCACCAGAGCTCCAAGAGGAGTGAAGGAAATCAGTTTAAACAAAAATATTGCCGCTTCTAGGGATACTTCTACCCACGCTGCAAGCAGCTCTTCCTCATACATCGTATATTCCATACCTTTCTAATTTTTAAAATATACTTTAAAATCAGCTTTTGCATAACTTTTTTTTTCCAGATTACGGAGGGCAAGCTTACTTTTTGAGAATAAATGTGGAGAATATAAAGCAAATCCATCATGAATCAAAGCATATGGACAGGCACACTTTCCTCCCCAAGTTATGTACAAAAGTATTCTAAATATGCACTATATACATTTTATTTATTGGCAGCTTAAACATTGCACCCAGAGCAAAAAGCATTAATGTCATTCACATTCTCAGGACAAAAAGCCTGCTTGAGAAGGATAATATTATATCCTCTTAATTTCTTGTTTGTGGAATACAGAAATTTTCCTAGCTCTTGATCCAAGAACACAAGTACAAAACAGAACTTTTGCCAGACTCATCCATCAGCTTTGTTATGAAGCATTTACCATACACAGCTCCATCCTCTTCAGCTGAAATTATTGGCAGCATTTTAACAGAAGCAAGACCTGGCCTGAAGAGTCTAAGGTATAATGTGCTTCATGTACTCAGAGAAAAAGATATACCCCCTTAATAGACAATTCTGAGGAGGAGAAGAAAAAAATAGGCCTAGTGAGTCAAGACGACAAGGGTGGATTTAAGACCTGGGACATGCAGACAGACCCATTAAAGTGTATTGAGATCTTGCTGTGAAACATCCTGGTATACCTTCAAAACTACTACCCGTGAGTGATATAAGAAAGGGTCATCTCACACCACCATATTTACAAGCAACACTATATAGAAACACAGAAGATAAGATTATAGAAGATTTGTATGAATATAATGCAGCAACAAGCAAAGGCTAAAATGGACTGAAAGAACCAGTTATCTACCAGATAACTTTCCAAAAAGCAGATGATACTGAAACCTATTAGTGAAACACCACTATTTCCCTTAATTCAAAACCTACCAAAATTGCCACTTACAACCCTGAAAACCTAGCACCTTCCTAGCCCAAACACAAGCGAAATCACAGAAACGCTAGATGTCCTCCAAGAGGTACTAGACATGTGTGGCGAGTTATTACCGCAGGGATCTGCGGGTGGTGCTTTGAAGAGACAGTCTCTCCCAGTCATTTATTTTGGTCTTGGAAGCAACCTCGTGTTCTTTGCAGCTCTCCTATTAAGAGTCTGCTCAGGGGGATGGAGAAAACAGCAAATGGGGAGCGAAGTCTCCTGCTACGCCCAGCAAGAGGCAACTCCATCAGCACACGCTCCTTTCGGAGGGCTGGGCTGACACCTGGGCTGGACTGCAGGGAGGACACCAAGGTCTCCCTGCTGCTCACGGCCAAGCCTGGCTTCAAACTTTCATTAAATAAAAGAGCAGACCATCTTTGCGAGTCAGAGGGGCCATATGGGCACGGCATCACAGGTACACCGGGATCCAAGTTTATCAGCTTTCACACTAACTCGGTGTGCCTGTTCCATGCTTTGCTGCTATGTAGTTACCTGGGGAAAACACATTCGCAGGGGCACTTACAGGGAACAGCTGAAACGTGGCAACGTTGGGTCCATTTCAACCATTCCAGCACAGAGCCACGTCTTGAAGCTCTTACTCCCCTCCAACTGGAAGGTGATCAAAAACTCAGCGATAGGTCCCAAACTGACTGCTTCATACTATACCCCAAGGCAGACCCCGTGTGTGAAATATGCCTATGTAATAAGGATCTTATTTTTTAAAGGATACTAAAGCACAATCCAGTACTTTTAGCCCACACCCCCACACCAAAGCGTACACTTCCTGCAACCAAAAGCTTGATATAATTTCAGAGACAGAAACCAATTACCCAGATGGCAACAATGCAAGGACACCAGCCTTATCTCTAAATATAGAGGACTGCAACCCAGATGTACGCTAGCATGTCCTAGACAGAACAGTACAGTAAGCAATCAAACAGCATCAGTCAAAATTAAGAGCACTTACAGGAACTTGAAGTTCTCATGCATAGATCAAGAAATGCTAACATGACAGCAATGGTATGGAAAGTGAAATCACTTAAACATGAAATCCATATGTTCTGACTTGCTGCTATAGAAAACAAATGTAGAATTTTGATTTACACACGATGTATATTTCTGGGAGACGTTTTTTTTTCCCCCCCTCTTTTCATTCGAATACATCAGACTGAAGGCACAGCCCTAATTTGCCACAACTTAACCTATTCAAATTAAGATGTCATGCAAATAAGTTGCTTTTGAGCAGCAACTGCTTAACTATGCTAAACAAGTTATTCCATTTATTTACGTGATGTCGCACCAAATTATGAAGGCTGACTCAAGTTGTCTGTTTATTTTGCCGAGTTATGTCTGCTCTGTGTCTCGCTACTCGATTTAATTGAGCTTCTGCAGATAATGTAACTTATCACCCAGACGCCGTGCCACGCTGCTAGATTCTGGGTTAATTAGCAGTAGCCTACAGTCACTGCATTTCTCACATGGTTAGCCACTTGGACCCTGCCTACTGTCTAGCCTCACTAATCAACGCGCCTGGCAATTTTATATTAGCGACAGAAAACACTAGCAACACATGGAGCAATCGACTGCGCTGGAAAGAAAGGAAAACAGCAGCTCACTGACAGGGAGCCCCTTCTGCACTGCGGGATTAACCCGCTGTTGGCTGCTGGGCTCTGACTGAGGCTGACCTACACCTAAGGACACGTTTTCTGGACGTGCTGAGCCTGGCCTGGTGGCATCCACGGCCGACAGGGAAGGTTTCGCGCTCTGCGCCCGGCCTGCACATCCCCGCCGCGTCCACGCGGCAGGCTCGCACTGCTGACGTGACTGCAAACGTCTGCCCAGACACCGCGCGACTCCCCGCGCGATGGCGAGCGCGTTGCGGCCGCGCTCCGCCTGCAACACGCCGTGACACTGCTGCTCCCAGGGGCGCAGCTGCGCCATCGCGACAGCAGCAAGGCAAATTCAAGGTGAAATATTCTCTCCACCCCACAATTGCTGCTTTTTTACATAATGGTACTTTCAATTATTTCAACCTACAGAAATACCTTCTTTTTTTTTTTTTTTTTAAGCATTAGTACGCCTTGTTAACCTCCCTAAAACACAGATACACACTGAAAAATGATTTTAGTACTCTGCTGCTGCTCATGCTTACTGGGAGACTTTCCTTAGTTCACACAACAGAATAATCCAAGTTTTGTAGAGCTTGTCTTAGGGTAGCAGGACACGAACTTTGGCAGGAATGAAAGTCAATGTTAAACCCATCTTTTCCAGAAAATGAGCCCAACATCCAGCACACCACAGGGTTTGCATAGAACTCATGACATTTAAAATGCACATATGCAAGTCTGAAGTTCACATGATCTGCTTGCTATTTTTTAGCTATTATTCACACTCTCCAGATTTTGACAACAAAAGTTAAAATTCTCATAGCGTTGTAAAATC